ACAGAAAAAAAAAAAAAAAAAAAAAAAAAAAAACATTCACGACTGGCAAGAGAAAGTTGCAAAACTTGCAACATATTACATCCCTACAACAAACATGGAAACCCCATACTATCTTCTTCATCTTACACATCTTCAGGTTCCTCTTCTTCTTCTTCCTCGTAATATTCCTCATCAGCTGTGGCATCTTGGTACTGCTGGTACTCCGAAACCAGATCGTTCATGTTACTTTCGGCCTCGGTGAACTCCATCTCGTCCATACCTTCACCGGTGTACCAATGCAAGAAAGCTTTCCTCCTAAACATGGCAGTGAACTGTTCGCTCACACGTCGGAACATTTCCTGAATTGATGTGGAATTTCCGATGAAAGTCGAAGCCATTTTCAAACCGGTGGGAGGGATATCACAAACAGTCGATTTGACATTGTTTGGAATCCACTCCACGAAGTAAGAGGAGTTCTTGTTCTGTACGTTGAGCATTTGCTCATCGACCTCTTTTGTGCTCATCTTGCCTCTGAACATAGCAGAGGCAGTTAAGTAGCGACCGTGTCGTGGGTCGGCGGCACACATCATGTTCTTGGCATCCCACATTTGTTGAGTAAGCTCGGGCACAGTCAGTGCTCTGTACTGCTGAGAACCACGAGATGTAAGAGGAGCAAAACCCACCATGAAAAAGTGGAGACGAGGGAAGGGAATGAGATTAACAGCGAGCTTTCTGAGATCTGAGTTGAGCTGTCCAGGGAATCTCAAACAGCAAGTCACACCGGACATTGTTGCAGAGATCAAATGATTCAAATCACCAACTGCTCCAACCATACAGATACAGATTAGTGCAAATGAATGAATATGAATTAAACAAACTTCAGTTTAAACACAATACAATAAGCAAAACACCTATGATTTAAGATATGCTTTCTTCAACTGCAGGTCAAAATCACTAGACTAACATAATTCAGGTACTAGATCTTATGAGCAATTTACAGAAAGCTGTGTAAAGGAAGATAGATCTTACAGCTTGGAGTGGTGAGCTTGAGAGTACGGAAGCAGATATCGTAAAGGGCTTCGTTGTCAAGAACCATGCACTCATCTGCATTCTCCACCAGTTGATGAACTGAGAGAGTTGCATTGTAAGGCTCAACGACAGTATCAGAGACCTTGGGAGATGGAAAGACAGAGAAAGTAAGCATCATCCTGTCGGGGTATTCTTCTCTGATCTTCGAAATCAGAAGTGTTCCCATTCCAGATCCAGTTCCTCCTCCTAGAGAATGGCAGACCTGAAACCCTAAATTACCGAAAACCACAGGAGTGTCAGTCAAAATCACAAAGAGACATGGAGATTAAAAAAAAACAACAATAGAGGCAGATCGAGAGCAAACCTTGCAAGCAATCACAATTCTCCGCCTCCTTCCGGACAACATCGAGCACGGAATCAATAAGTTCAGCGCCTTCGGTGTAATGTCCTTTCGCCCAGTTGTTTCCAGCACCAGATTGACCAAAAACAAAGTTATCCGGCCTGAAGATCTGGCCATAAAGTCCAGATCTGATACTGTCCATGGTGCCGGGCTCGAGATCCATAAGAACAGCACGAGGCACATACCTACCGCAACTGGCTTCATTGTAGTACACATTAATCCTCTCGAGCTGAAGTTCGGAATCACCACCGTACTTTCCAGTGGTGTCGATGCCGTGCTCGGCGCAAACCACCTCCCAAAACTTGGCACCGATCTGGTTGCCACATTGCCCACCCTGAACATGAAGGATCTCTCTCATTTTTGCAGAAGAAATCGAAGAAACAAGAAATGCGAGAGGATGAAGGACGGAGAGAGAGAGAGACAGAGTGGACTGGTTTATAAAGGGAGAAGGGAGAGAGAACCGTCAATTAGGGTTTTTTTTTTTTCTTTTTTTCTTTTTTTATTTTTTTGGTTTTAGTGTGAGGAGAGAGAAGACATGTGAAAATGGCAACGGGCTACCTGGTGGGATGGTAACGGCAAATGAAATGCACTGGAAAGGTTTCAAATTTTGAAATTCAAATTTCATGTAACAGCTGGCAAGATCCGGCCTATTTTTTCTAAATGCAATTATTAAAAATAATAATAATAAATAAATAAATAATATTTTTTTTTCTTTTTCTATTCCCTTAGAAACTCGACTATAAATAGTCGAGCCCTTGCTACCTTACCCTCATCACTAGTATCATATCACTTTCGGTGTTCAGCGCTCCCTTCGAATTCTCGAGCCGTTCATGTCCTTTTCTTCTTTCTTTCCTTTTTTCAATTGTCTAATGTTACGGTCAAACTTTTTTTAACTGTGCAGCGTCATGATTTGACACGATCATGACTAGTCTTTAATTTTGCGGCTTCGTCGGACTTTAGGTGAAGTTCTTATTTGCTGACTGGACACAACTCATGCAAAGACTAAACTTCGTTCAGCTATACACGTTGTGCATGTATTTTCACTCAAATGTGACTCTAGCCGACTTGTCTCTACTCCATGTCAAATTCTAAGGTGTAACACATTGTGTCTCATCTTGTTATTTTGATTATCAACAAATTGGCACACATAGTTCATGATGTCATCTCAAGAAGATGTCATCAACGATCATTGTCTGTTTAAGCATGCTTATCGAGAACTTACGCATGAGTTGACTCTATAATTGAGACACCTTGGACATTCGTCCATCCAAATATTACCGAGGCATGAACCTTCCTATGTCTGTGTCTAAGTAATTTCTGACCCACCATATATCAACCTCCAACCCAAGGAATAGGCTACAATGTTGGCACACCCATGTCATGTGTCATGGGATACCTCACTTAGGCTACAAGGTCCAGGGTGGTAGAGAGCTAACATAATCCTTCTCCTACAGAACATTTTGAGACATTTTAATTCTTGGAGTATTAGACGTGATTTTGGCAAGGAATCTCTAGACGTGATTTTGGCAAGGAATCTTATGGTCTCATGAAGCATCTGGTTTGTGTCTTATTAACAAGTTCATCAAGCTTTCATCTTTCATAAAAATAGACTTAACCCTAGAATCGCGTGTCAAAACTCAAGCCAAAACTCCAACGGTAAAATTATGACCGGGGTCTCTACCATCCTTTGAGCTTGCCTCTAACTCTCATAATGTCACTATTGCTTTTAATTTTACTTATGATTAGCTTAGCTTTTATGCCTTTAATTGCATACGAGTTTGTGGCAAAGATTATACGTTGTGTGTTTCGGATATTCGGCTACTGATAGTCACTTTAAAAAGTGGTTGTTCAAGATTTTTTGGTAAATATTATTATTTGTTTCGAGCAATTACCCACCAATGATCACTTTAAAGATGATTTTGTGGAAAAGGTAACACGTGTGTTCGCACTAGTCATGGAACAACTCCGAAATTTTTATATTTTTTTTTTATTTTAAAACACTTCCATTCGAATTCACTTATTTGTTTTGTAGTAAAAGAACTCCAAGTTCATGGGAACTAAGAAGATTAAAACATTTTTGATATCCAAAATATCCAAAATAGTATTTAAATAAAAAAAAATATCAATTAAATAATTAAAAAATTGAATATATGTCAACATTTTCTACGCGGGTAAAGGGGTCCATGTGAACTTGTCTCCAACTAGATAGGGAGTTTAGAATCTTTTATTTATTTATTTTATTTTATTTTTAAAATTTGGGGAATATTTCCAAGTTGAGATGGAGACAGAGATTTTCCCTATTTTTCTTTTTGTTTTTTTTAACAGAATTATATATTTAATGGTTGGATATGTGTATCTCGCATTATGAGTTGTTTTTTTTTTTTAATAATAAAACTAATTCAAATATTTTTTAAGCATATTAATTTAATTCGAATATTTAATTTTAATAAATTAATTGCTTTTAAAATGTTTTTTTTTTAAAAAAAATCTGCATAGGCAATGAATATCTTGTTTGACATATTTGGAAGCAAGCTTTGAAGGAAAGCAAAAAAAAAAAAAAAAAAAAAA